TTACAACAGAGTTTTATTTTACAACAGAGTTTTATTTTACAACAGAAAAATAAAACTCACCGCGCTAGTTTTATTTCTGAACATAAAAAAAAACTCATTTCTTAAGTGTTATTTATTGAAGGAAAAATAAAACTCAATAAGTACTATGTTACGAGCAAACATAGAACTCATGAAATGTTTCTCAAATTTGATGAAAAAGGTAAAAATCAAAACATAAGGATTACATAATGATTTTTTCGATATCGCTTATAACTGTTACGGTCCCTGTTTTTTTAGGAATAAGTTGAGAATTTGTGGGTGTTAGAAAAATTTTGAAAACAGTATGTGAATTAATCGGGCAGCTCTCGTGCAATCTTTTTTATTTTTTAACACCGTGTTTGCAAAAACACTGTATACTTTTTTCCGCATTAATTCGATTTTTGTGAAAACTATAAAAGGTATATATAACATACATATGTATATCGAATTAAAGAGAATTGAATTCTCTATTGATTGGCATCAAAATTCATGAAAAAGTTTTCGTGAAATATTGGGACGTATTCTTGTTTTCGTACGAATCGAAAATTTGAAATTTTTGCATAGAAAATGATAAGAGCATTTCATGATTTTCGATTTGTACGAAAACAAGAATACGCCCCATTGATTTACAAAATGCATATATGTATTTAATACTTCTATATTGGCAGTAAGCTAACTTCTCAATGTGTAAGCATTCCGAAATCAAAGCGAGACAGTCTAGTACTGTTTTTGTCAATGTATTGTGTACTTGACCCTCCAGTACTGCTGGAGTCAATCGCTACTCCCCAGTACTGCTGGGGTCAATCGCTACTTTTGAACCGCTACTGCACCGACTCCTAGGTAAGTAGCTACTCTATTAACCCGTTGTAGTGCACATGGTAGTGCAGAGTCGAACCAGATAGCGAAAAACTACGACAGAGGGCGCCCATAAATCACGCAAGTGACTAATTTAGTAACTCCCGGTAGTGCAGAGAGAGCCGATGGTGACTACCGCCTAGGGCAAAGTAATCGATGAAATACACTGCAAGTAGTCGGTCGGTAATTGACGATGTTTATCAGGTAGCTACCGATTCCGCAGTATAGCGAAAAACTACGACAGAAGGCGCCCATAAACCACGCAAGTGACTACTTTAGTAACTCCCGGTAGTGCAGAGAGAGCCCATGGTGACTACCGCCTAGGACATTGCCGGAGTTTATCAGGTAG